AAGACTTCACAGGACTTACATGAGGCCTCTGGTCTTCTGTCATTCTTCAGGATTTTTTGTACTTGGTTTCTGGAACGTTTCCAAAATGCCTGATTGAGCCTTTCATCTCTGCATAGGTATGCAATTGTCATGTTTATTCTCCTTCTATGTGGGCTGTATTAATGAGTTCCAATTTGGCTTTGTTTCAAGAAGGAACAGTAGCTGCTTTGGTAATTTAAAAATAAAAATCATATTTTGGACAATAATCAGTTCCTAGCAGCTGTATTTTAACTATTGAATTTCTAGGTCCCAGAGGTTCCCTATTTGACAGTAGGAGAAACAAGCAATCAGGATAAAGAGACAGGCATCCTTTATAGAGTAAAATCACAGAGTCTGCATCCTATTTTCTTTCCACTTACATGGATAAGCCCCACTGAACTCACATGTATAGGATTGCACTGTTAAAAAAAAAAAAACTTGCTGCCTAGACTGCCTTCTATTGAACTCCTATCTATGCATATGTAGTTCTTTGACCCTTGCTGGCTGCCCAAGATCTGATAAGCACTAGTTAATATGTTGAATTGCCCTTTTTGTCCACAAGATAGAACACAAAACAATCCAACGTAATTGTCAATTTTACCCCAATCAATATTATCTCAGCACTTACATATTTTGTTTGGGGTTTCTGTTTATGTCAGCTAAAATTTAACCAAATCTAGATATAATTTTTACTGAAGTTGTGTTTGCTTTGGGACAATTTTCAAGGACTCCCACCCAGCCCAGGCCCAGTATATGTATGTTTTTCATAAGGATTATTTGTAAAAGAAGCAATCTCATACTGGAGTTAAAACTCTGTTCAATAGCACCTGAAAGGAGGATATGTAGATGGAGTCCCAACCTTAGCATTCAATCTCCCTGCCCAACAACCTAGATCTTAATGATACTAGGCCAGAAATGCTGCACAGTTCCGAGGATTCACACATATTTTTTAGGATCTTACTGAGGGATTTTGTACTTGGTTTGATTGAAAAGAGTAGCAGCATCCAGTAATAGCAAGCTTCAAGCTGTGACCACTTGGCTGTTCAAAAGATCTTCCAAATAACGTTTCAGTACACTAGAAACAGATGAATATTAAATGGAAATGTTGAAAAGAATTGATTAACTTCTTCCCTTTAGTATCAACATCACTGTCTTATAGCATATTGAGATAGTCTGTGGCTTAGGAAATTAGCTTTTTTCAATTTACATTTAGTTTATCAGACATGGAATCTGTACTCTTAGGGAAACAGCATAGCTAGAAATAGGCAATTAATCTTTTTGCACTGTTTGTAATTAAATGTTTGTCTGTAAAAGTGGTTTCTATCTAAAAAGCAAGTGATAAAGAAATACTTCATTCTTTGAATTCACAGGATATTTAATTAATGTAGGTGAAGAATTACTGACCATCTAATGATGAAATGATTATCATACTCTGATGCATCATTCCAGCAGTAAAATGTGGTATTAACTCTTGGGTGGAGGGAGGGAAGGGGTAGAGCTATCCTAAACTTGCGTAAGTCAGATGCACAAAGCCTATGGATTTATATCAATATATTAAACGGGTTTCTTTCAGATTCTTTTCCTCTGTCCTGATATTTTGTTTTCTTAAACATAGTTATAATAGACTATATATTTAAAAAATCTACGATTAAATGTTTTGTTTAGTTGACTGAGTTTCTATAGCAAAAAGCTGCCCCCTTCACCTTTTTACCCCCTCCCCTTTTCCATCCCCACTTCCCCTACACTCCGCCTCTTTCCCCTCGTTCCCTTTCCTCTGTCTCCGCTCGCTCCCTCGGTGAGCCGGAAGAGACAGCCTCTGGCAAACTGGCAAGATTGAACGGAGAGCAAGAGAGCGCCGAGGAGCTCTCCTTGGTCCTGAAAGCGCTGGCTGCAGGGCGCAGAGGCTGCAGTCGTGTGCTAATCGCTGTCACCGAAAATAAAAGGTGGAAAGAGAGGGAAGACAGGCTAGTTCAATCCATACATTCATGTGTCTGTACACACACAAACTCGCACACACAACCTTTCAGTTACTGTTCTCTCACGGACTACAACTTCTATTTCTGGAATTAGGTGGCATTTCAAAGCAGACTTCCTTTGATTCTTTTTTAAAATTCCAACTGAAAAACAGCACACTATTGTCTCAATTCACACTCGCTACATCAAAGACCTTAGTTCCTTAGGCAACAAAGTTACCAATTTATATATCTTAGTTTGATCTTCTGGAAGACTGAATGTGCCAGATACAAACCTTGCTCTGGTTGCTAGATCTTTATAGCAGAAAGAGCACGTTCCGCGGGGTATTTATATAACTCCTTCAGGGCTACCTTTTGATCTCATGGTAGAGGTTTAATTTAGCTCTTGATCCAGGCGATTTGTGATCATTTATCAAACACAAGGGGAGATAGAAAGTGGGAATGTTTTCTTTTGGGAGGCTGGGAGAAGTGGACTAGAAAAATATCTGCTATCTTTTCTCAGCCTTTTCCCTTGAGTGTCTTCACTCTCTTTGTTGGAATATGTCCCCCCCCCCCACAAATTAGGAGGTTGAGGAAGTTTTTCCACATAAATATCTTTTACAATTGATTTCAGAAATCTTTCCATTCAAACATTGCCATCCTAAATATCACTTGTTTGGGAATGAATCTGTTTTAATCCCTAGTCAACGTGTTTAAATCTACAGCAGATCTACAGATTTGTTTGGATATGGGAGAGATAATTTTTATTTTCTAGTTCTTAAAGCATTTTAATTGCTGCAAGAAATGTGGACTGGTAAGTGAGCAAGTTTTTATTTATTTATTTTTTCCCTCCCCTGCCTACCCTTTCCTGTGGGTTTCCATCTGCCTCTTAATCTGTCTATTTATGTGCTTGGTGCTGTGGTGATAGTGCTGAGCTCTTGAGGCTCAACCATTCTTCTCATCATTTTTCAGAGCCCAGCTAGCAGGACAGGATAATTGAAAAGCTCCCTTCCAACATCCTTAAGCTCCTTTTCCTGTCTTCATGTTCTGCATTTTTGCAACCTGGCTATCTATGGCCAGAAAACATCTAAGCTAATTCTTGCTTCAGAAATGTTCTTCATGAGGTATCAACTCTATATTAAAGATTCACATAAAAGAGGAAAAGAACAATGTAATACTTGCATTGCCCAGTAAGTATAGATATCTAAGGATAATCTAGTTGCCTCTCAGTGTGAAATAGGAAAAATTTGAAATAGTTTGATAAATGAAAATAGCTATATAGAAATTATTAGCAAAGAGATAAGACCTATTTAAATTTGGAATAGCTGCCACAGATTGATTCTCCACTTGTAAACATACTGATTTAGCAATATCAACGAATCTTATGAAATCTGTTGCCATGTAAATGAATATCTATACTCATTCTGGAAGTGTTTCAGGTTCAGTAATACAATCTATACTTGGGAAAAGGAACCTGAGAAACATAGGTTTGTCAATAAAATGTTAAAATATTTTTTTAATGAAAGACATTTAGACAACATTTTGAATAAATTAATACATTGCCATAATAATTTTTCTATTAACAAAACAAATAAATTGTTATAATGTACAGAAGTAAAACTTCAAATAACTTTTAAACATAACAGCAATACAGTGAAATCTGTAAGAATATAACTGTATGTGCATCAGTCTCGAATGAATCATTTACAATACACAACGGTACCGCAGTCTAAGTACCTGTGGGTGGGGGAAGGGGAAATCCGAAAGAATCATACCAAACAATGTGGATTTACAAACAGTGAACTGTCTCTCTCGTCCACTCACTGTCTCACTCTCCTTTACTCTTTCTACTGTAGTTTTGGCTTTTCTACCTATAAAACCTCCAAAAATAATGCAAATCTATTGCAAACAAAGGGAATAAAAGAGTAACTAGGAGATCTGAACAATGATGAGAACTAGTGTCGGAATCTAGAATAGACAATACTTGAATGAAAGGAAATCTGAAGCAACAAAGCCACCCCAGTCACCTACTCAAGTGCTTCTGTTTAAAGTGGGGCATGTGGTGGAGTCTAGGTGGGGGAATCCCCATTAAATATGTAACGCAGTCAACAAATACCTCCTTGGACAAGTGAGTCAGACTACACAAACAACGCAGGACAGCCACTATAGAGTGAGAATGCCTCACAAATAAGAATACTCATATCTTAATTTTGGGGACATATACAAATGGCTCAAGAGGAAGTTTTGTATAAGAAGGAAAAAAGCGCAAATCCATAAACTCTACTAACCAACATAAAATAATTAATTTACATTAACCATACTGTTTTATTTTACTTTTTTTTAATCAAGCCTTTGATGAAAGAGATGCAATTAATTAAGATAAGCACAAAATGAAGTTACTAGAGAGATAAATTAATAATTTACAGGGGGTTGTTTGGCAGTAGTGTAATAATAGCTCTTAAAAGATCTTAAAAGCACAGCAGGATCAACTTTTCCCTCTGCATTTTTTTCAGAGAAGGAAATGGGTAATAACCACAGTAAAAATATATCTATATATATATTTATAATATGCAGTCTAATGACAGAGAAACTGCCATCTAATTTTTTTAAAAAATCAAAATACTTTTGAGATGCCTCTCTAATCTAGATTAAAGTTTCAGTCTCTAATCAGTTAATTTTTTTTTAAAATCCTGAAAAATAGCTGTAAAGGGTACTTTTACATCTCAGCAAAGGTGATGTCTTTAAGAATAAAAACAACTCTTACTTGATATGTCTTCCATCCTTTATAAAGATTTCTTATCTGCCTTCACAAAAATCAGTCTGTCTTTGATGCCAATTTAAGTCTGAGCCTGCAAACCCGATAAAATCTGCTGCCAACTTTCTAAACTTGATACTTTGTCCAATCACAGTCCAAACGTATCTCAGTCGGACCTTCTTTCTCAACCTTGGGTCTCTTTCTTTCCAGGAAAGAGAAATAGAAATGTCTTTCTGTCCTTTTGATATTTATTTTCTCCTCCTAAGTAGAAAACTTTAAATCCCAGCGGAATATTTCATCCGTTTCTGTTTCTGCCTTTGGTTGCAGAACCAGACTCGGACCACATTCTTCTTGAGGTCCAATTTCTCTGCGATGGCTGCAATTTTTTCTGAGGAAGGTCGTGGTTGGATAGCGAAATAGGCTTCCAGGGACCTTTTTTCAGGAGCAGCGATGGAAGTGCGTTTCCTCTTCTTCTCTGCCCCATTGAAGAGCTCTGGTTTGGTGAGCTTCTCCCGGTGTGATTTCTCTGCCTCTTCCAGCCATGCTTGCAGGATGGGTTTGAGAGCAATCATGTTGTTGTGGGACAAGGTAAGGGATTCAAACCTGCAGATGGTGCTTTGACTTAGGGACCCCACCCCGGGGATCTTGAGGTTGGCCAGGGCTGAGCCCACATCTGCTTGAGTCACTCCTAGTTTGATCCTCCGCTGTTTGAACCGCTCTGCGAAGGCTTCCAAATCCCGTGGATCTGCATCCACATCGCTCATGCAGCCCATGTGTGAAGGTAGCCCATGGGCGTGCGCCATGCTGAGAGCTGCCTGGTGCATTGGATTCATGCTGCCCATGTGAGGAGCGTGGCCTGGTGTGGAAACCACTGAGCCATCAGGGCCTGTCATGGCACCCAGTGCCAGTCCTGGTGTGATGTGTTCCAAGAGTTCTCCTTCCAGAGCTTGGTGAGGTTGGTGGTGGTGATGGTGGTGGTGGTGGTGGTGGGTGCTTGACAGGGCAGAGGGGTGCGAGATGGGCACTGAGGACGAAGATGCCGCCGAGGTACAGGGGATGGTGTTCATGGTGTGATAGGTGGCGTCAGGTTTGAAGGGGCTGTGATGTGGTGGGTGGTGATGGTGGCTCTTGCCTGGCGACACAATGTCTACTGCAGCCAGGGCTTCTGCGCGGGCTAGGAGACTCTCGTCTAGACCTCCAAAGATGTTGCTCTGCAATTGTAAATAAAAGGCACACATTACTGCTGCCAAGAGGGAATTCCACTTTGTTCTCCTCGGGTGCCATCCAAGCCAGCCCTATCCCTGTTGAAATGAGATGGGGGGGGGGGGGGGGGAGAGAAATGGGAAAGAAGGGGAAGGAGAGAGGGAGGGGAATTGGAAGGAGCGAAATAACGTGGGAAGTATAGAAGGAAAGAGAAAGGAAGATAGAGAACAGTGGGAAGGAAGGAAGGAAGGAAGGAAGGAAGGAAGCAAGGAAGGAAGGAAGGAAGGAAGGAAGGAAGGAAGGAAGG